TATATATTTTTTCTAGCTGCTTTCATGATTTACTTTTTAGCACATTTTATTTAATTGTTTAGTCTTGATGTAGTTAGGATCGTGTATATGTAGCCTGTCTGTATATATTCTTCTTGGAATCTTAATGTTTTCTAGAATACAATTTTCACAAACTCGGAAAAATTAGCTTTATTATTCTTTAAATATTTCTCTGCTCTCTTTCTGGGACTTTTGTTTTCATATATGATAGATTTCTTTATATTGTTCCACATGTTCCTGTTTCTTTGTATATTTTTATCAGCCATTTTTTTCTTTAGTTTTCTATTTAGATAGTCTCATTGCTTATTATCAAGTTTATTGATTTTATTTCTGTATTGTCTTAGATATTCTTATGTACGGCCAATGAAATTTTCAATAGAGATAGTCTATTTCTTAGCTCTAAAATTCAACTTGGTATTTTGATTCTTTCTAAGTCTCACTATGATCATAATTTCTTTTAAATCATTCAGTTATAATAGCTGTTTTAATAGCCTTATCTGGAGAGTGAAGTCTCAATATCTTTGTTATTGATGGCCTTGTTTATATTGATTTTCTGTTGAATATGAATTCTACCCACACAAACTGCAAGATATAATAATAAATGTGTATCACCTTGAGCTACTATGTTTGTGACAATTTTTTATGCAGCAAGAGAACAAAGAAATGCACCCAGACTCAGGAAAAATTTATGTCTAGCTTTTCATTTAGTGTCCCTAAGGAATAACTAAGGCAGAGGTTTTTCTAAGAAACCAAAGTGTACAAAAGCGAATACATAAATGTATTTGGATTTGGCGCTGGATTTTTATTTTCTTTTTTTAGACAGGATCTCTCTCTGTTAGCCAGGCTAGAGGGCAAGATCATAGCTAACTGCAGCCTCAAACTCCTGGCCTCATGTGATCCTCCTGCATCAGTCTTCCAAAGAGCAGGGGTTATAGATTTGATTGTTTGTTTACAGAATAATTACCTACTTGTGATTTTTGTTTGAATGATATTTGTTATAAATCAATACTAGAGTAGTAAAACATACACATATTTAGACTTACCATTTTATTTGGAATCTTTAGTTTTCCAAGAAATTTATGTATTATTTATTTATTTTTTTACTGTATGTGTGTGTTTTGACCTGAGACTTACAGTAGAAAACTAGAAGTAGATATGGCTGCAATTGGCTGCCACTACACATATTGTGAGTTTCTTTTTTCGGGTCTCCTTTGCTGCAGTAATTCAGCCACTGTACCAGAAAACGATGTAATCAAATGTTGATATTACCGAGAGCTTCACCAGCCTATGGCCTAGAGGAGGAAAATGTGCTTTATAACCGTTATGTGACCTCTGAATACCTTTTAAATTTTAACCTTTTGGAAAACAAAGCCCACAGGGCGGGTAGCACAGGGTCTGGCAGGCCTCTGCAAGTGCAGCAATCTGGGGGGGATTGGGGGGCATCCCTGAGGGGCTTCTGTTACCCACCCCCCACCCCACCCCCGTCCTGCGCCTCCATCTCCCTTTGCCCCTCCCCCGCCAAGGGGAGAATCCGGGGACCTGTGACCTTGAGCTGCAGCTGTTCCACCCCCAACGGCCACCACCCTGCGAAGACCAGCGGCGTCGTCGCCATGCTGTCCCTGCTGCTGGTCCTCGCAGGCCTGGGCCGGCTGAGCTCCGGCCAGCGTGAGTGCCGCACCTGCCAGGGCCAGGGCCGCCCTTCCCGCTCGGGGTGCCCTCCTTGTCCCAGAAGCTCGGCCGGCCGGCTGGTCTGTCGGGGAGGGGAGAGGGCGCAGGCCCGCCCCAGCTGCAGAGCCGCAGGAGGGCAGAGCAGGGGCAGCTGTTTCTTGCTGCTGGACCTCGCAGCTGAGGCCTGCTGTCCCCTGGGGAGGTGGGGGAAGGAGGGACACTGGGTGGGGTCGGAAACCTCCAGCCCCCGCTTACACGGGAGACTCTCCCTGGGATTGGACAGAGTACTTTATTTTTATTTTTTTGATGTGTGTACGTGTATGAGTGTGTTGGAAATGTAAAGAGTGATGTGAGATGAAGAGCACAGGTGAAGTATGAGGATGCTGCTGTTCGCCTGGAAGGCTCTCACACAGGTTTTTCCTTACTACAGATTCTGAAACACAGTTTCTGCAAATTACAGTGCCACAGAAGATTGAGACAAACACCAGTGATGGCGATGTTTCAGGAATGCATGTAATTAAGAAGCCACTTTAAAAATATTATAGATGTTTTATTCTTGCTTAACTACATGGTCCTAATTCAGTAGTATCCCTTTGTGAAATTTCATTTGTTGTTCTAATTTACTGTGCTGAAGAGCTGTTTGGCCTGAATGAGAGCAAATGTTTGATTTTCATAACTGCGCCCATTTTAAAATAATATTACTTGGTAAATATTAGTATGACCTTAATATATAAAATACACATTTAAATGTACATGTTTTCTAAAAGGGTCCAATAAACCGTATATAAAATTTTGTTACAGGAATTTGGGCATTTTTTCTGAGTCTCTGTTTTAAAATAGTTATACGTCATTCAGGTATTGACAAATGAAAAAAATAC